CTCACCCCTCCACGAGGCCGTCCTGGCTGCCCGAGCTGTGCCGACTCCCACCACCCTGATCGTAGTTCACGCTGAGCTGGGCTGGGTTCTCTCCACTGGCTTCCTGTGTCTCTTCAGATAGGTTTGTTTTTTTTCTTTTTTTTTGCCATAAGTCACTCGTGCTTGCTAGAGAGACAGTGAGGGAAAATGAGAAGTCACTCTCCAGGGGAATAGCCGTGCCCAGTCCCTTCCCCTCCCCATTTTCTTCCTGGAATTTTCTGCATGCATACTCACATGCCCAGCATGAGTTTCAAGTTGCTGATCACTTGAACCATGGCCAGCCATGTGAAGGTCCAGCACCATAACCAGTGAGCCATCTCCTGACCTCCTCATATAGCCTATTATAATCTTATGGGACTACCACTGTACTTGTAGTCCAGTGCTGACCAAAACATCATTACATGGTGCATGACTACAGTTTAATATACACTTTATGTAAAGCTTTCATTTCATTCAAAAGATGAAAACCTTGTCCTAGAGTTTACCTGTAACACTTTATTAAATTCAGCTCAAAACCCAGCCTCAAATAAATTCTGACTCAGTTATCTCTCCATACACTTGCTTATCTCTCCACAAATCATTCTCCCTTCCTCTAGGCTTAAGGAACCAGATGTTAAAGGTTTGGAGTCCATGATATCAATGTGTAACATTATGTAGGTCTGCTTAAAGTCAAATTTCTCCCCAAGTGTCATCATTTATTATTCTCTAAGCAAGAATGACCCTTCTACAATGTGAAACTCTTATTCTTTTTTTGAGAGATTGTTCTATAGGGCATGTGAAATTGCCATAGAGACAGAGAGTGAGAAATCACCCTCCTGGGGAGTATTGCCATACCACAATCCCCTTTCTTCCATTCTTCTCTTGAGATCCTGAGTATGCAGGCACATGTGCCCAGCCTAAGTTTGAAGCTGCTGCATCTGAGAGTCAAACCACTACGGGCCATGTGGGAGTCTAGCGCCTTAAACACCATGCTACCTGCTGGCCCCTATTTGTTCTTTTAAGGGTTTATCAGAGTTCTCTCCATTCTACCTTTAAAAATACCTACTTCCAGAGTCAGCTAGTGGCATGGTAATTAGGTAACTCAATCCCACATGGCTGACTGCCGAAAGCCGCACTGCCGTACCCAGCAAGTGGCTGGTGGTTAAGGCACTGACTCCCATGTGGCTGACTGCGGTTCAAATCCCAGACCTGGCATCTGTAGTCACTTGGTGCATGTATGCCCGTGTCCAAGATCCCAGGAGGAGGATGGGGAGGAGGATTGCTGTGTGGCTATGCCCTGGGGTGATTTCTCACTTTCCCTCTCATTGTCTTTCTCTGTCTCTCTCTGGTGAGCACACACACCCCATGGCTTAAATCTTAAAAAAAATGAAATCAGCCTGCCGAGCAGTGTGACCATGGTGGGCCTGCGCTTGGTCTCCTGTGTGTGGGGATAAAGGGTCTGTCCCCACAAGCTCAGGGCACTCTTCCTGGGTGTCAGAGCACTCTGTGTCAGCTGCTTCCCCAGCCCTGGGGTGCCTTTTGGCATCGACCATCCGGCCTGGTCAGCAGGTGCTACTGTGGCCACAGCCCTCCTGTCCCGGAGCCTCAGGCTGTGTGCTGGCCGCCTCGTCCTTGGCGCCTCCTCTCCCAGCCAGCATCCGGGCTTCTGTCCCCTCTTGGTCGTCTGCAGCGTGGGGTGCTCACCCCTCCACGAGGCCGTCCTGGCTTGCCGAGCTGTGCCGACTCCCACCACCCTGATCGTAGTTCACGCTGAGCTGGGCTGGGTTCTCTCCACTGGCTTCCTGTGTCTCTTCAGATAGGTTTGTTTTTTTTCTTTTTTTTTGCCATAAGTCACTCGTGCTTGCTAGAGAGACAGTGAGGGAAAATGAGAAGTCACTCTCCAGGGGGATAGCCGTGCCCAGTCCCTTCCCCTCCCCATTTTCTTCCTGGTGTTTTGGGCCAACATGGTCACATGCCCAGCGTCTGTCTCCAAGCTGCCAGGTCCAGGATTTGAACCATGAAGTCAGCCATGTGGGATCCAGCACCTTAACCTCCAGCTGCTGGCCTCTCTTCGAATAAAATTCTTAGTTCTTTGAAGCTACCACCAGGATGACTGGAATCACAGAACCAAGTGTCCTGAGCCGGGTAACTTGGAGGGTAAATCAGGGCCATTGTGACAGCAGGCTTTCTAATTCTCCTCCCTTAAACGACAGACGGTTAACAGAGACAAGAAGGCAAAGGTTTTAAGCATTATGTTCGTTGTGTAAGTTACACATCTAACTCTGTGAACAAGTAGAGTACTCCCCCTCCCTGAAACATAGGGGACATTGCCAATCTCCCAGGGTACTGGGAAAGCCCCAGGCCCTGAGAGCAGAGGGTGGTGGGTGTGGCCCGAGGGTGGGAGAGGCGTGGCGAGTTGGGTGTAGGAGTTGGGTGTAGCGCAGCTCTGCTTCCCCTCTCCCCCAGGAGCTTCTACCTGGCCCTCTATAAGCAGATGAGCTTCCTGGAGAGGCGAGGCTGCCCCCGCACCGCCCTGGAGTACTGCAAGCTCATCCTCAGGTAAGTCCCCAAGCGTTCCCGAAACCGTCCACTTGGGGCCCACACCGCTGCCCATCTCGAGTGGCTGCAGCACCCCTATGGCTACGTGATGGCTCCCCCTGTCCCCTGCGCCCTGCTCGCCATGCTCCTCTGGAAGCCTGGAGCCCGACGAGGACCCCCTGTGTATGCTGCTGCTCATCGACCACCTGGCTCTGCGCGCCCGTGACTATGAGTACCTGATCCGCCTCTTTCAGGAGTGGGAGGTAGGTCTGAGCCCGCCACCCCTGGGTGGGCATCTGTCTCCCTGGTGCATCTCAGCATGCTGCCCCCGTGCCTGGGAGACAGTGGTGATGAGGCGGTGGGGGTCTGTGGAGGGGTCGGGGCAGGTCCTCAAGCCCCGCCCACCTCTGCTGGTGGGGCTGGCCTCCCCTCATTTAAACCTGCACACACCTGCAGGGACGCGAGTGTGCAGACTGAGGTGGAGGGAGGGCCGTGGGGCCAACGCAGGGCACACACCTGCAGGGACACACGTGTGCAGACCAAAGTGGAGGGAGGGCTGTGGGGCCAACGCAGGGGCCTGTGGGAGGGCGACGTGCCCCTGGGTGTGCCACAGGGCACCCACACGCTCGTAGCTCACACGTGTGCACAAGTGGGTGTACAAACGAGGTAGGCGAGAGCCACACTGCCTGTCATGAGCCTGACCTGGTCCAGACTTCAGTTCACCACAGGTCACGCCGTCGGTGACCTCTGCGTTGATTACATGGTGACTTGGGTAGAGGCAGCATCTCAGTATGCGGCGCCCGTGCCTGGGCGACAGTGGTGATGAGGCGGTGGGGGTCTGTGGAGGGGTCGGGGCAGGTCCTCAAGCCCCGCCCACCTCTGCTGGTGGGGCTGGCCTCCCCTCATTTAAACCTGCACACACCTGCAGGGACGCGAGTGTGCAGACTGAGGTGGAGGGAGGGCCGTGGGGCCAACGCAGGGCACACACCTGCAGGGACACACGTGTGCAGACCAAAGTGGAGGGAGGGCTGTGGGGCCAACGCAGGGGCCTGTGGGAGGGCGACGTGCCCCTGGGTGTGCCACAGGGCACCCACACGCTCGTAGCTCACACGTGTGCACAAGTGGGTGTACAAACGAGGTAGGCGAGAGCCACACTGCCTGTCATGAGCCTGACCTGGTCCAGACTTCAGTTCACCACAGGTCACGCCGTCGGTGACCTCTGCGTTGATTACATGGTGACTTGGGTAGAGGCAGCATCAGAGTCACCTCGCCTGTCTCTCATGCAGCTTCTAGGACATTTGCACTGATGCGTGGGCTGTGTGTGCCCACGGAGGGCGTTGTCTGGAGGCCGCACTGCACAGTGACAGCCCCTAGCAGAGCCAGGGCTGGGGAGGAGGAGGACAGCTCGCTGCCTCCTGTTGCTGTGCTAGCGTTATTTAGAACGGCGTCACGTGATGCTCGGCAGTGCGGTACATCTGAGAGCAAGGGGCCCCGCTGTGTGGGGCTGCGTTGGCGTGTGCTCAGGAGCCAGGACAGTGTGGCCTGTGGCCTCCTGCAGCACACCATGTATGCAGCCAGTGTGGACCGATGGCACATGACCGAAACTGGCACTTGGTGTCCGGGGCCAAGAAGTCTTACCTCCAGTGATCAAATTTACAGAAGTTTTCAGGACTCATGAAAATAAAGCTGCCAGGAAGCCCCCAGGCAGGACCCAAAGTGGGGCTGCAGAGGGACATGTGTCATGGCTTTGAGGTCTCAGAGCTTAACGAAGACTCAGTTTTAGTAGTAAAGCGCTGTGCTTAGTCGTGGAAACCCAAGAAGGTTTGTAGGGGGTGGGCGTAGGGGCAGCTCCCGTAGGTACGATCTCTGATCTCCATGTCAAGCACCGCCTGCCCCGCCCCTGCAGCAGCCCGTGGAAGGGCAGGACCATCGTCCTGGGGTGTCTGTGGGCACCCCAGGCCCCGGCTCTCCCTGCTGTAGTTCCACTCCTTCACCTTGGCTGAATCCCTGACCCCGGCCGTACTTCCCCGCACACAGACAATTCCCCCCGTAGGAGTTCGAGTTATCATCATGCCAAGTTAGACGTGCCTACAAGCACGTGTGCTGGTTCTGTGGGCTCATCCTGCAGCGTCAGGCATCTGTGAGGCTGGCGGACCCTGTCTGTGATCGCAAGGCCCCACTGTTTCTCCCTCTGGTGCAGGCTCATCGAAACCTGTCCCAGCTCCCAAATTTTGCCTTCTCCGTCCCGTTGGCTTATTTCCTCAGCAAACAGACCTCCCCGAGCACGAGCTGAACTGCACGAGGGTAAAGGCCGCGGTCCTGGTGCAGCAGGCACTCACCATGTTCCCCGGAGGTGGGTGCCATGTCTCACCCGCTGGTGGAGGCCGGGTCCCTGCCCTGCTCTGTGCTCTGGGGGAGTCAGTGGGAGAACACCCAATCACGAGCCCTGTCCAGCTCCCTCTGCCTGGGGGGGGCACCTCGGGGGTCAGTGACAAGGTCTGCCCTGCCCTTGGCTGCCTGGGGCCGGGTCACCAGGACAAGCTCTGCTCCCTGCAGTCCTCATGCCTTTGCTGGAGCGCTGCAGCGTGCGCCCTGATGCTGCCGTCTCGGACCACGGCTTCTTCGGCCCTGAGGCCGAGATAAGGTAAGGCTGAGGAGGGCTCAGGCCCCGGGGCCGTCCTCACCCTCCCGGCCAGGGGGTGCTGCGCAGTCAGGTATGGGGCCATCACCACCAGTGACGGCCACTTGCGAGGGGGGACCTCCTCTCTCCGACCACAGAGGCTCTGGAGCCCGTGTCCACATGCCGGTCCCCTCTGCAGAAGCCCAAGCGAGTGGGCAGTGGGCGGGAGGAGCGCCCCGAGGGCTGTGGAGATGAGGGGAGGGCAATCTGCCTGGAGCCCAGTGCCGTGGCTTCACCTTCTACCCCACGTCCTAGTGAGCGAGGGCACGTGGGGGCGAGCCGCCAGCCCCGCCTGCCCTGCAGGGTGTGTGCACTTTCTGCATGTTCACGCCCCCTGGTTGGCTCCGCAGCACACGCAGCTCTCAGACACCTCGGCCCCGGGCAGCCCCTCTGCCCACCAGCAGGGCCCTGGCCAGCACTGAGGCATCTTACTCACGGGCTCTGCTCTTCCCCAGCCAGCCCCCTGCCCTGAGCCAGCTGGTGAGTCTGTACCTGGGGCGGTCACACTTCCTCTGGAAAGAACCTGCCATCATGAACTGGCTAGAAGAGAATGTCCGTGCGGTCCTGCGGGCAGTGGATGCTGGGGACCCCACTGTGGAGGTCTGTGAGGGCAGGTGAGCCTCAATGGCCGCAGGTGAGCATGGCCCGCCGGGTTAGCGCCAGAGCAGGACACAGGAGGGCGTGGTTCCCCACTGGGCTCCCAGCTGCAGAGGCGAGTGGGAGGGGCGGGAGTGGGCAGCTGTGTGGGCATGGCCCTGGCCGTCTCAGAAGCTCCCTAGGAGTTACTGCCACCACTGCCACGCGGAAGGACAGTGACGCTGGGTCCCTTCGCTGCCCCCTCTGTTCTGGGTTGTCCCCACTCAGCCTCTGGGGATGCCAGTGTCTGCGTGGCGGTGGGACCTGGAGTGGCCCAGCGTGGCTCGCATGTGGGGAACCCACTGCTCACGGCCTGGTGCCCTGTGTGGGGCCCAGCCTCTGCTGGCCTAGTCTGGACCTATGGCCTTTTGCTGGCTCCGTCCCCCCAGTATGGCTTTGAGTAGCAGTGCGGCCAGACTGGCTGAGCAGGGGGCCCGACTTGGCTGAGGCGGTACGTCTGTGAGCATGTGAGCCTGAGCCCGGGGCTGTGGGGGGACAGGAGGCCCTGGCTCCAGACCATCCCGTGCGCCTCTCTGCCCACTGCCCTGGACGCTCCTCATGCAGGCCGCGCAGTGGGGCTGTCAGCCGCGACTTTGTGGTTCCCGTTGCGCGGACAAGACGACTGAAGCACAGACCACACAGCTCTCCCCGCAGGGGCAGGGCCTGGCCGCACTGCCTCCCTTCGGGGGGATGGGAGGCCCCTGGGGAAGGCGGAGATGAGCGGCTGCCTCGTGCTCAGGGCGGAGGCCCCCATGTGCACACAGCGTTCGCCATCTCACGCGCTGTCCCTTGTTCTCCCCTGCCCTAGGCGGAAGGTGCTCTACCAGCGCGCGCCCAGAAATATCCACCGCCATGTGATCCTCTCGGAGATCAAGGAGGCCGTCGCGGCACTGCCCCCGGTGAGGCGGGAGGCTGAGAATGGGGCTTTGTGCAGGCTGTCACATGGGCTCGCCTCCCAGCCACGCGGTGCAGGGGTGCCCTGCCAGCCCTCTCGCAGCCAGGGTTGGCGGCTCCGTGCTGTGAGTGGCACCCTGTGTGCTCGGCCTGGTTCTGGTCCCCACGGACACGCCTGAGGCAGCTCGCCACGCTCTACCCCCGGGCTCGCACCTGCGTAGCGAGGCTGCTGTGCCTTCTCTGCAGTCCTGCTGTGTCTTGGGTCTGTGTGCCCAGCGTGTGTGGGAACGCCAGCGGTCGCTGTCTGACCTAGAGACTCGTCCAGTGTCATAAAGGATGAGAGAAGGAGAGAGAAAAACGGCAAGTTGGAGGAGGACGAGGCATTATGGCCTCTTCCGCTGAGGGTGCCCTGCAGCACCTGGCTCCGTTCCGGGCTGCCCGTGTGGCCTGCACAGGTGCAGCAGCCCGTCTCAGAGCGTGGAGGCCTGGGCAGCTGTGCTCCAGGAGCTCGTGTGACCCAGTGGCCCAGGTCGGCGCCCTGGAGGCCGCAGTTCCTGCCTGGAGAGTTGGTGGCACGGGGCAGAGGAACGGCATATGTTACGTGAGCAGTGCTCCTCCCCCAGCACAGTGCGCTGAGCAGACAGGATGTCACCTATGTGTGCCCTGACCGTCACCGGGTCCTGTGGGAGAAGGGCTGTCCTGTTCCTCACCTGAGTGTCCTGGCACGGAAACAGCGGTCTGCCAGGCTCTGCAGCCGTCTCCAGCAGATACAGCCAGTCTAAACTGGGGTCAGAGAAGCCTGCTGGAGGCAGGTTGAGGCCCCGGTAGCACTCTGCAGCGTCCCCTTTCTGTCCCTTTCTGAAGGACGTGACCACGCAGTCTGTGATGGGGTTCGACCCTCTGCCTCCCCTGGACACCATCTACTCCTACGTCCGACCAGAGAGGTACCTCCCCACCTCCGTTGTACTCTGCCTGGGTAGCTCCGAGGCTCCCAGGGACTCCGCCTTCCTGCGCCCAGAAGCTGAGGCAAGGCACAGGCATTGCAGGGTCGTTTTCACCCCAGGAGGCGGGGGCACATCAGACCACAGAACCACTTCTGCAGCTCCTGTCCTCCCGTCCATCTCCCTGAACGCCTCCCTGTCAACTCTACGGCAGCTGCTAGAGGCACAGCCGGGAGGAGAGCCGGCCCCTCTGCCCTCAGGCGTAGTGAGGTGGAGACAGGTGTTAGCCACAGACTCGGGGGTAAACACACGTCGTCGGAGTGCAGTCAGGGGCCGGCTCTATAGCCTAGTGGCTAAGTGACTCCTCTGGAGTCAGGTCCACGTGGCTTCCTACAGTTCAGATCTTGGCTATGCTGGCTTGAAGAACGTGCTGAGTGTGTGTGCATGCATCCCCCCAGTCTCGGCAGGGTAGAGAAGCAGAGGAGAAGGGGTCCTGGCATGGCCACGCTGCTTTGGGGACTCTCTCTCTCTCTCTCTCGTGTGTGTGCACACATGCCTCTGGCAGTAAAATGATAATATAGTTTTGGGGCCAGCAAGTGACATGGAGGTTAAGGTGGCAAATTCCACATGGCCAACTCTGTGGTTCAAGTCCCAGACCTAGCGGCTTAAAGATCAAACCAGGTGCGTGTGCATGTGCATGTGTGCACAAAATTTTGAGAGGAGAATGGAGAAGAGATTACAGTGTGGTCATCCTGTCTGAGGGGTGACTTCTCACTTTCCCCCCCTCCTTGTCTTTCTCCAGCACGTATACACACCCTATAGCAAAAACCGAAAAAAAAAAATAGGGCTCAGAACGTGCTAGGGAAGCATGCAGCGCTGCCCATGACAGCCAGTGGCCAGGCGAGCAGAGCGCCAGCATGTGGAGGCCCCGAGTACGAGGGGTACTCGGAGCAGAAAAGGCAGTCGGGGAGGTGACACGGAGCACCTCCGAGGTGAGCCCAGGCTGACGGTCATTTGCCTCGAAGGGAACATGTGCTTTCCAGACAGCACATGCAGTGGGGTGGGGTCCCGTCTCCTGCTTCCACTGCAGAGCTGGAGTGTGTGTGTCCACGAGAACCCCCAGCTAAGTTCTCCAGGACATGACAGTGAGAGTTACCACTTACTCACGGTGGTGGGTCCAGAAAGACTTCCTGGCAGGCTGGATGTCTTGAGGGCTCACTGTGGCACTGGGTGGCCCGCCTGTGCCCACCTCCCTGAGCCCCTGCCGTGTCTCCCTGCAGTCCCGGTGGAGCTGGGCAGCAGCGGTTGCCTCTAGGGTTGCACGTGGCACACGCCTGAAACCCGTGTCTGACCAGTCAGTGTTCTCGGGGGGGTACTGAAGGGACCATGGAAACACCCTTCCTCTCTCTCCCCCCCTCTCTCCCTTCCTTTTCTTTCCCTTTTTTACTTTTAGGTTTTTGCCATAGGGCTTGTGCACTCGGCAGAGAGGGGAGAGACAGCAAGACAGAGAGGGAAAGTGAGCGATCGCTCAGGAATGGCCTTGCCACAATCCCTTCTCTGTCTTCCTCTCAGGACTTTGGGTGTGCATGCACATGTGCCAGTGTGGATTTCAAGCCACTGGGTCCTAGGCTCAGAGCAGCCACACGGAACCCAGCGCCTTAGCACCGTGCCACTTGCTGGGAGCAGCCAGCCACACGGGACCCAGCGCCTTAGCACCGTGCCACTTGCTGGCCCCACACCCCTTTTTTTTTTTGGAGAGGTTTTTGCTGGAGGGCGCGTGCACTTGCCAGACTGACAGGGAGAGACAGAAAGACAGAAAGCAAGAAATCACCCCCCAGGGGGGATGGCCACACTGCAGTCCCTTCTCCTCCATTCTCCTCTTGGGATCTTGGGCACGCACACACACGCGCCCGGCGTGAGTTTAAGCCACTGGGTCCAGGACTCGAACTACGATCGACTACGTGGGAGTCCACCGACATACCCATTATACCACCTGCTGGTCCCACCATACCTTTTTTGAAAGCAAGGCACCTCTGCTGGATAGGCAGTGTGACAAGGTGGCCGCTGCCTCCCACTCAGCTCTGCAAGTCGGGCTCTGAGGGACTGGCCCCACTCTGGACCGCCCATCGGTGTGTGAGCAGCTCTTCTCCTGGTGCCCCGTGCCCGGCCCACCCCAAGCTAGTCAGGAATCTTCCCTCCTGCCCCAGGGTCCCGGCCTGCGGCTTGTGGGAGTCCGGAGCCTCAGGTCCACTGAGCGGCTGCTGTGCTGCCCTCCTGTTCCTAGGGCGAGAGGAGGCAGCTGACGGGCTGCCTGGGCTGGGGCTGCCCG